TATGTCTGGACCTGGCGCTTTCTTCTTGTGTGCAGCGCCAGGCTCCTTCACACTTGTGATGGATACAATGCATGTTTAGTCTGAGCTCAAACATTGATTGGGCTAGTTAGTAGTACTCTAGCATTCCGATTCGCTACTCTGAACTACGTGAATGAGGTCAGTCCTGTCAGGTCAGTCTTTGTATCAAAGTCTTCCCTGCGCTCTTCAGCATCTTYATGTATGAATGAGAATGTACATTGTTTGTCGAGATTCTACTCGTACCACATTGTCTATTCATTCCTTTTCATCACATCGCAGATTCTCGGTTTATTACGTACATTGCATATCTGTGCATGTACCCGACTATCCTACCTACAGCTGGTTCACGCAACAGGTTCACTTCGACTCTCAAAGACCAATGTACATGACTGTCAACACCATAGCCGACCTCTCTTCATGCACAGGTACGTATCTCGTCACCCTCAATCAGACCTTGATTACCCCACACTGCGCCTCCTTCCCTGAAGACCACCAGATCGCCCGCTGTACCCCCTGGCGCCCAGCAGCCCGGCTATGGCTGCTTGCGCCCCGCTGCCCTGCAGCGCCCCTCCTCACCACTACGCGCCCCGTCAGCGCCTTTGGCAGCAGCGCAGCAGCACTCCCGCATTGCCTGCACTGGCCAGAATGCCTGGCCTGGGCTGCCTCGCTTCTTTTATAGAAGTGGCAGCCTCCTGGATGCTGTGTGTGGCCTGGCTGGAAGCTTCCAGTAGCTTCTGGTTGGCCTCAGACCCTGCGCCCAGGCCCGAAACTACAGTTGAGGGTCTGGGCCCTTTTCAGTTGGGCACGGCCTGAGTCTCCGGACTTGAGCTGTTTGCTGCATCTGTGCAGGGCTCCCAGGCAGGTGCGTAAGCAGTATTGCTTTTCCAAAGGCTGGCGGCCTGCTTCCGAATGTATTGGCCCCACTTTGTGTGTATGTGCCCAGGCGCAACTGTCAAGGCCTGGGCCAACTGTATGATGCAGCTTAGTGAGGCTCACACGTCTACCCAACCAACTGGCGTGCTGCGAGAGCCTGAATACCCACATACCCACTTATGGAAATGTCGAATTTTGGCCTCTGACGAATATTCAGGCCCGCCTTCACTTAGGGCGGGCACTCGCCTTGCTGGGGGCCTTAGCCCAGAACATGTGATGTCTGATAGGGCCCCTTGAGGGCTTGTTCCTCGCAATATCAAAAAATAAAAAAATAAAAAATAATGATAATAAATTAATAATCCATTTATCTAAAAATTTAAAATTTGTGTGTTCTACTAACAGCTTGAATGTGGATTTGCTACTGTTTCTGTTTCCCTGTGCGGATACGGCGTTTTTTGTAAACTTGTGCTTTGCAGAGAATGGCAGTCTTCGAGCAGATCTGCGAACTTTTCCCGAAATCGATGAGACAACCAACAGCGAACCTGATGGATTTTGTATAGGGGTCCGCTGGGGGGAGGCGGAGGGGGGGGGCGGGGGGGGGGCAGGAAGGGAGGGGAGATGTTGTCATATGGGTCTGCAGGGGAGGGGGCAGGTGGGGAGAACGTCTCTGTAGGGGTCTGTGGGGCGGTTGCCGGCATCATGGACTGCAACATTATAAGGAAGCGAGGTGAGGGAGGCGGGGATTGTCTCCATTGCATCTTCAGGAAGA